ATCAAACCTTACTGTTGAAGACGTCGGTGGTGGGAAAAGATGGGGTTTGCAGTTTATAGCTCCCTCCAGTGGGAGAGACTCGGACAGATGTTTGGGTAATAGAGCAAGGCCCTGCCAATCTGCCGAAAGAAATCATACTTTTAGAAAAGGGGACCAGCAGTTAGTGTAATGGCTATGTCGCTGGACTCCCACGTAGTCGACCATGGTTCGAGTCCCGGACCTGGTGGCTTAAACTCTTGCTGGGTGTGTGTGCGTGCCTACCCAAGATCCTGAGAGGAGAATGGAGGAGAAGGGATTGCGGCGTGGCCATCGCCCCTGGGGGGTGATTTCTCGCTTTCTATTTCTCTGTCTCTCTCTGTCTGGCTGGTGAGTGCATGTGCCCTATAGCAAGAAAAAAAAAAAAAACCCTCTAAAAAAAAAAAAAAGAAAAGTAGTTCAAGTCCCGGATGTGGGGACTTGAAAAACCATGCCAGGTGCGTGTACATGTGTGCCCAAAATCTCAAGAGGAGAATAGAGGAGAAGGAATTATGATGTGGCCATCTTTCTTGAGGCTGATGTCTCACTTTCTCTCTTTTTCTGCTCCCCTCCGACAGACGCATGTGCCCTCTCTCTCTCTCTCTCACACACACACACACAAACACACACACACAGAGAATAAAAAAAAAAAGGAAAAGAAAAGCAGCTTCTGGAGCAGCACTGGATCCCACTAGAAATGGAGCTCATGACCTTGCAGCACCAGCCGGGCTGTCCATTATGAGGCAGTGGACTGGCCAAGTGGTAAATGTGGCAGGCCCAGCCGCGGTCTGTCATCAGATGAAAGTGTACATCGAGAGAAGTCGTATGCAACGACAGAGAACAAAGGGAAGGTGCGATTCTGGGGCAGGCATCCCGGTCTCCCCTGCCCAGACAATCACACCAGTGAAACTGCATCTAGACCCACGGGGGCATCCTGTCCAATCAATTGAAAGAGGGTGAAAAAACTAAGCTTGCCTTCTGGGTGTCTGCTTCTTATGTGACAATGGAAGGGGACTGCATGACAGTATATTTATAGTAGCTGTGACTTACTGATAAAGATCTGTCTGTAAAAGTAGACACTTTTCTTTCCTAAAACTAAATATGTCACTATTTTTTCTTACAAGTTTTTTCTTCTGAAAATAAAGTTTAAAAAATGATTCGGCAAACTTATAAATGATTTGGCTAGCGTATACTCCCATACCTTTCCTCTCTGGCCACCTGTTTTAGGATAATAAAGTTTTTAGTCTTTTACTTAAACATTTGCATCTGCCCAGCAACTGGGATCCATCTGGAATAATGCATTTTTATCAGATTGTGTGGGTAACTCAGACCAGGATCATCCATCTGAGGAGAACACGGTTGTCTTCCATAGGTTTCACACATGAGCGAACTGGTCTATAGCTGTGAAATGAATAATAACGCTATTTGGCTATACAGTTAAATGAAAAGTCTTGGAAATTATATAGTTGAATATTTTGCATCATTATTGGAACTTTCTCTGGATTTCGTTCTGGGAGGGCTTGTGTGCTTAGCATTTCCCCTCACTTCCCACCTGTGTTAAATGATGAAAAAGACCATGTCCTTCGTGTCTGGTGGGCGAGGAGCTCAGCAATGCTCCGGCTGTCAGGGCAGGGTGGCCCTTCATGGGCGGATCATGAGTGTCGTCAAGCAGTGATTTCCAATTAGTGGCTGATTCTGTCCCCAACTGGAGTCATCACAACTTGGGGTACAGGGTGATTGGGTACTTCTGGAGGCAGATCTGCATCATGTCCCTGTCCATGCAGAGTTGGGGGACAAGCTCTGGTATCCAGGGGGCCTGGGTTTGGCGTGGATGTCTAAATGCCAGCGCCGCCCAAAGTCCCTCAGCCTTTCATGGGTAAGATGGAAGTTTGGAGTTAGGTCATCTTTGTGTTTTTTTGCCATCTTTGATTTAACATTTTTAGGAACAAATGCTGAATACCATTAAGGCTGACTGAAAAGAATATCCAACTACCCCAAAAGTGCTTCCTCGTAAGACAGTCTCTTAAACGGTGCTTGAAGGTTAAATAGATTAACATTGTGACTTACTCTTCTTCTAAGTACCAATTGATTGTGCCAGGTCCTCATTCATTCTTTATTCTCTACCCAACAAGATGACATTACAAAGCCACTGTCATGTGGTCTATTTCTCCACCCCTCCCCCATCCCACTGCTGACAGTGGTCTTTCCTCAAAATTTATTGAGCTGTTTTTAAAATCCATTTGCGTATGTGAATTTTTTGGAGACATTTTTGCTATAGAGTGTGTCTACCCTCTGGAAAGAGAAAGAGAGAGACAGAGAGACAGAAAGTGAGAAATCACCCCCTAAGAGGGATGGCCATGCTGCAAGCGATTCTCCTCCATTCTCTTCTTGGGATTTTGGGCATGCATGCACATACACTTGGCACATACATTTCAAGCCTCCGGGTCCAGGACTTGAACCTCTGTTGGCCACATGGAAGTCCAGTGCCTCAATCACCAAGCCACCTGCTTGCCCCCAATTTTGAAAATTTTGAAGCTACACACTTTATAAAGCACATTCTATACTCAGGAGAGAGAATTTCTGGTAGAGGTCTGAAATGTGCTTTAGTGGTCTCACTCGAATACGTGCCTGTGTTCCTATCTACCGGCATGATCTTTATTCTGGTCACAAATGACCTTCTTTTGAAAATTCACTACTGAAGAACCCCACCACAGGAGTAGTGCTTAGACATCTCAAGAAATTACAAGAAAAGTCTTGGTGTAATGTGCAGACTTAAAACAAGAAGGAGATGTACTCCGGCTCTCGTAATTCCAAGGCTTCCAACACCGCCTGCCGGAGGAAGGACTCAGTAGATGCTGACTGAAGAAGCGAAGGGCCTAAATTAGAACAGCAAGTTTGCTGTCAGTTTTAAAACCCCAATGCAGATGCAGGCGACGATTTCCAGATGAAGTATACTATCTCCAATATTTCCTCCTTAGAAAATGTCATCACATCCCTCTCCTAATTTTGCAGATGTTTATCATCCCTAGCAACGGCATCGTGGATAAGATCTAAAACCCTTTTCATGGGCTCTCCGGCCTGGAAGGATGCGCATTAGGGCAGTCTGGATGCCCACTCTTGCTGTGGGAATTAGATCCACGTTACCATTTCACTTTGTCTGTTGCTCGTCACAGCCGTCCCACCTTGGCACTTCAGCAGAAAGCGTCCCTCGTTCTGGCTGTTTCGCCGTTGACTCCATCCTTCGGCTTCCTGTTTTCACAATTGCCAGCCAATCGAATATATCTGTGGTTTCGAGGCATGTGTCAACCGAACAGATATCAAGAATAAAACGCACATACACATCCCAAAAGGCCTCTGTCAAAATCAGTCAGATTGCACAAGGCAGAAACCCCGGAGAGCATTTTAACAGAAGAAAATGGCCCAAAGTGAGTCCATTCAGGATGCTATCTGCACTTTAATAAACCAGGTCTTATCTCTTCTGGCCAGTGGACAGCTTCTAATTGGGAAGGGTCCAAGGTAAGGCGCACAAATGCAAGGAAACCTGTCTGCCTGCTTTATACCTCGGCGAGATAGCCCTATCGTACATCAACGGACAGGCTTCCAGTTGACAACAGGAAAAATATGACTCAGCTTGTACAAAAGGGGAAGTCCCAGCCTGGGCTCGAACAATGGCCCGGCGTTCTCCTGCTCTGCTGCTCTGTCCTACCTGTTTTGATACGCAGGGGCTGAGGATTCAGCCTTCTTCTCCGGGTCTTAGGTAAGGAGAGGAATTTAGTACCCAGGAAAAGGCATTGCTCAAGGGAGTGAGCCGAGCAGAAGGAACACTGGGAAACATGTGGTCAGGCTGGGAAAATGAGAGCCTAAATTCCAGCCATGTTTCATTTGGGAATAGAAACAGGCTAGGCCCAGCAATAAAATGAAAGCAGCATAGAAACCCTGCTTAGAACGATGAGTCTAGCGAACGACTGAAGCAGAGACAGTGGCCTGTGAGGGACGCGCTCATTTTCTAGCCCTGTGCTCACCCACCTGCAGCTCCTTCTGCAGAAGGAAAACCCCGTTCTGGAATTGCCTATGCAGAAGAGGTGCTCACGGAGGCACACGCGTTCCGTGCAATGACGCCAAACTCCGCGAATGTATGGGTTTACCTCTCATGCGTTTATTTAAATTTTGTAGGAAATCTTTTTTATTTTGGAGAATTATTTATTTTACACGGAGGCACATGCGTTCCGGGCTATGACGCCAAACTCCGCGAATGTATGGCTTACCTCTCATGCGTTTATTTAAATTTTGTAGGAAATCTTTTTTATTTTGGAGAATTATTTATTTTACGTTTATGTGTTCATTTATTTAAATTTCACCAGAGAGAAAGACACACGCAGAGAGAGAGGAAAGTGAGAAAGCCAGTCAGGGGTTTCAGTCCCGAGGTTCGGGACTCGTTCTGTGGTTAGCCAGGTGGAAGCGTCCAGCACCTTCACCACCATGCCACCTGCTGGCCCCCAAATCTTATTTAAGAAAACAAACAAACAAATAAACAAAAAAGAAAAAAAAACCCTTTTTTCATTTATGTCTTCTGTGAGAAAGACAGAGCGGGGCACCCTGACAGGGTCTTCACACTGCGAGTGGCCCTCAGCCTCAGTCGGCAGGATCCGGGCACAGGTGTGCACCCAGCACGCCCAGGAGATCTCAGGAAGTGGACCCAGGGCCTTCCCAAGTGGGTCCAGCTGTGTTACGGCTGTCCCACCGCCTAACCCCAGGGAAATCTTTCTAGGGTGAAAAAACCCATGTATTTCTCTGGCTACTGAGCTCCATTTATCCAAACGGCCCTGCCCACATGGGCTGCGGCTACCCAGGAGCTCTCGGAGTCCCTCCCGACGTCACCTGAGCTCCAGCAACCTGGTACCGCGGTGCTGCCTCGAGGCTTCGCCTCACCTCCCTGTTTACAGTTTTTTATTGCCTTTTGCAAGGTCTCCATCCTCTTCCTCTTTTGGGGTACAGTGACACTGTGGTCAGTGGAGGAGGTGAGGCCGTTCAGGGAAACAGCCTTGCTGACAGGAACTGGGGGCAGCGGGCAGATGCTGCTGGTGTCAGGGTTTACGAGAAGGACGGAGAGGCAGCAGAATCGTCGGTAAGATCGCAACTTTTCTTGGGTTTCAGCCCAAGATGCCACTGAGAAAGGTATATTTTTAATGAATTATTTCTAAGTAAGACAAACCCGTTGTACTTTTTCCCTAGGAGCCTGTGGAACCGCAGCGTCCCCAGAGTCCCTAGGGGTAGCCCTCATCGCTGCTACTGCCCCGTGTCCTCGCTTAGCGTCCTCCTCTGCAGGCGGCGCCCCGAACCTGGCAACCAGGGGCAGATGTTTTTGATGGAATGAGTAAATGTTCAACTATTTTGCTTTGTTACCTTTTCTTTGAAAGAGGCCCAAGGAACAGAGAGGTACAGTGTGCGGTCCAGAGCTAGGGGTGCAGTAACAAAGGCGAACACCCGCTCCTGCACCGAAAGGGATGGCTGGGGTTGCCGGCTTTGGCCCCCAGGGGAACAGAAAACAAAATGAAGAGTCTACTAAAAGACATCTTTTTCTTTCTCTCTCTCTTTCTTTCTTTCTTTTTTTTTTTTTTTTTTTGAGAGGTTTTTTGCTATAGGGTACGTGCGCTCACCAGACAGAGACAGAGAGACAGAAAGCGAGAAATCACCCCCCAGGGGGGATGGCCACACCGCAATCCCTTCTCCTCCATTCTCCTTTCAGGATCTTGGACATGCATGCACACGCACCCAGCGTGAGTTTAAGCCACCGGGTCCAGGACTCGAACCACGTTCGACTATATGGGAGTCCAGAGACAGCCGTTATGCCAACTGCTGGTCCCCTAAAATATGCCTTAGCAGCAGGAAAGAGACTGCGGAGTTTTGAAAAAAAATGAAGGAAAATGTAAAGCTATTTAACGCTCTTATGCAGGAGGGAGACCAGGAGACAGCACCCGGCTGAGTCTGGACGCTGAGTCCTGCAGCCTGGGCCGGCCCCCAGTCACGGCACGAGTGCGCCGACGTCTCGGGCTCTGCCGTCCGGAGTGTGTTCTCCCACTGCAGCAGCGTCCACACCCCCGCAGCACCCTGCCTGGCTGCGGTGGTTGAAGCTCAGTGCGGGGAATACTGAGGAAAACAGGAAGGGTTTGGGCTTCATCCTAGCCACGAGATTTCCAGAACCTTTCCAACCTCAGACGGCCCTGGAGGCCCACTCCTCCCCACCCCCACCCACCCCATTCGTGAGCGCTGCCCTCTTCTCCTTTCTCTGTTCCTGTTCTCAGTCTCCCATGTCACGCAACAGTAACGAAATGACGAAACCCTCCTCTGGGAGCTTCTGTGCGCTCTGGCAGCATGGCCGACCTGCATCTTCTCAGTCCCGAGGCAGCTCTGGCTAAAAGTGCTTCGGGGCGCTGGAGCGGGCTGTGTGAGACTCCTCTCCAGTATCCACCCGCTGAACGTCGTTGCGTCCGTCCAGTCTGGC